CCGCCCCTTTGCAGGAAACGGAGTCTGGTCCGCAACTCCGCCACAAAGGCCACCTCAGTGTGCTTAACGGTCAGGCATGTGAGGTAGCGATCGTGACCATCACCTGGCACCAGGTAACGACCGCATCCAGAAACGCACGGGTGAAAGGCATCTTTAAAAAGACGTGTCTTTAAAAAGACATTCACCCGTGAATGCGTTTGCCCTTTTAATGCGCTGCAGCGCACAGGGGAGATGACCGCCTGCAACACAAACAGGTGATAGTGCAGCCTGTTGTGTGCAACCCACTCGACACGGGAAAAAACCCACTACCGCTGTAGTGCCGTTCTGCCAACACGAGAGCTTCTATAGAGCGCGCTGAACTCGTTGAGTTTTTTCAGAAGCAGATATCAGGAGCAGAACGATATGACCGAAGCGAAAAGCTGCTATGCGTAGCACCGGCTGCCTTTTTATGCTCATGCTATGATCAGCGGCAGCTGGTTGCAATCATCGCATGCCAATGTGCTTTGGCTCGTTTAGTTTACACTCTCAGTAGTTTGGTCACTCTAATGCCGAGTTCACACTGCACGATTTTAGCCCGATTTTTCACTCGCCAACAGATTTTGCGAAATCGCAGACAAATGCCTGAAATCGGAGGCAAATCGGAGCTCATTCACGCGAGTGACAATCACGCAGTGTGAATTATCAAAGACGCGATCTGAGAGAATCGCCAACGCGTCGCTGATGCCCGTGAAATATTTGGCATGCTAAATATCTGGAGCTGTCGGCGATTCACAATCCTGCTGTGTGAAATGAGTTCTGACTGAAAAACACATTGGCAATGACCTGCAGCCAATGAGAGAGCACGATACAGGGCAGCGGGAAGTTCGGGGAGGAGTTATATGAAACGTAGTTTGCGGACCAGTGTTGCCAAATCCACGATTGCCGCCGGTTGTTTTTCATGTCAGCAGGTTGAAGCGACCCCAATAACGTGATATTTAGGCCCTAGAATGTGAATTGTACCAGGGGAACCCCGCCAAAAAAAAAAGTATTTTACCCCTCCCCCCCCGCCGAATGCGATTTTTACTGGGGGACCCCCTCGAAAGTAATTGGGCTATTTTCAGGCTAGTTTTGAGTAGTAATTGGGCGGGTTTTGTAGCGAAAACCTGGCAACCCTGCACCAGACAGAGTTATCGGTGATTCTCCCTATTGTAAAGTCATGCAGTGTGTAACCTCCTGTCGTCTTGCCCAATCCGCGATTGCCGTCGGTTGTTTTTCATGTCAGCAGGTTGAAGCGACCCCAATAACGTGATATTTAGGCCCTAGAATGTGAATTGTACCAGGGGAACCCCGCCAAAAAAAAAAGTATTTTACCCCTCCCCCCCCGCCGAATGCGATTTTTACTGGGGGACCCCCTCGAAAGTAATTGGGCTATTTTCAGGCTAGTTTTGAGTAGTAATTGGGCGGGTTTTGTAGCGAAAACCTGGCAACCCTGCACCAGACAGAGTTATCGGTGATTCTCCCTATTGTAAAGTCATGCAGTGTGTAACCTCCTGTCGTCGTTCCATCTTGCAGTGTGAACACAGCAACAACTGAATGCTACCCCAAATAGTCGTTCAGTGTGAAACCAACAGTGATGCTACATCTTTGAAAATCGTGCAGCGTGAACTCGGCATAAGCGAGATCCCAATTCGTCGGTCAGTGACGTGACGTCGAGAGTGACCGACTGAAAGGGAACATATGTTCTATTTAGCCACAAAATAAATTAATTAATTTGTTCATGGTTAATATGTCTAGGACACAAATTAAATCCAAAACAATGAGAAATTAACAGATAAAGCAATCTTTGCAAAGAAATCAGGTCCTTGAAATTCAAGCAGTTTATTACACGTTGTAAGATCTTTGAACCAGAGTTGAGATTACAGATAAAGCTTTTCCCAGTGCTGTACAATCTGTAGATCAGAGACATGCTGACTCAGCCCATTCACAGAGAGCTTGAAACACAGCTTCAGCGATGATCACAGCGTTTGATTGAAATTATCTATGTCTGTGTGTGGATCCACAAAACCACTTTAGATTGCCAACATATGCCGGAGATACCAGTCCCTGAAGCATAACCTCAGATTTGCATCATCAGCCTCCTCTGTACGCCTGCCAAGTCACTACGCTGTTGACTTTGGCTACAACAACAGGCCCATTTAATAAGATGACAAACAATAGAACTATTCAAATGGCCCATCTTAACACCAGCAACAGAGTAGATCACAGGCTATATTTCCTATAGACCTTATTTCTAGACCTGAAATGGTGCACTGAACACAGTTCTGAATTATATTGGCTTATAATATATATTTGCATTTCAAATGATATGCCTTGTGTTAAATACAACCCTTCAATTTGCAAATCTTGTTTAAAAGCAGGGATATCTGTCATAGAATAGTTCCACTCTGTATGCAGAAAAACCCCTCAGTGCTGTGCTGCATTCCTAACAGATGCTCACAAACCTGGCAGTTGAAACAGATTTGACATGTTTGTTTTGATGTGTGTGACTGCTGTGTTCTTGAAGCAGATTTTGCATGCACAAAGAAAGCATGAGATTGAGATTATGAACATGTCTTCTAAATAAAGCAGGGGGTTAAAAAAAGAAAACACCCGACTATACAAGCGTTAGGAATGTTAGTGAGAGTGATGATTGACAGCAGTTTCTAAATCGGTGGAAAAGATTAAATATGGTAAAATGTGTTAAATGAAGCTGAGAGTATTGCTCATAAGGGATGGGAACTTGATGGTCGTTTGAATTCTAAGGATGCAGATATATATTTTAATTTATAAAGACCAATTTATACTATGAAAACGTTTATATACTGTATAAAAGTATGATATGACGACATTGGGTCTGTACATCCACATATATCTGCGTTGTTATTCAGAGAGAGCTTTGTACTCCTTCGTTGTATATGATGAAACATTGAAGATGAAATATACATTTATTCTGAATGTAGTTATAAGCAGTGTTGCATGGGAAAAGTTACTTTTCCAAGTAATGCATTACAATATTGCGTTACTCCATAAAAAGTAACTAAGTGCGTTACTTAAAGTAATGCATTGTAACTTTTGTGTTAACCTTTGTCACCTGAGCTGGGCTTGCTTATTCATTTTTAATAACAAAAAACCCAAAGTTATATTTTTGGCAACTGTAAAAGCCTTTTCACACCAAAAGTGAAATTAATAAGCCTCGGGCTGAAGGAAGTGCCTCTTTACCTCAATCAGTTTCTCTCAACACAGGAACAGGAGAGGTGTCAGTGAATGAATTGGAAAACTTGCGTTACTTATCTGAAAAAGTACCTTTAAAAGTAATGCGTTACTTTACTAGTTACTTGGGAAAAAAAATAAATCTTGCATTATTTGTAATGCGTTACCCCAACACTGTTTATAAGGCCACCAAGAGTATGTGCTGTATGTGAGTGTAAGTGTGGTTTCAGTTGTTGTTGTAAATTTAAAATACATTTTAGTATGAAAGTTTTTGGTGAATCATTATTTCTTTGTGAAAATGTTTGTACACAGATTTTATGCACAAATGTGGGTGTACGCATGCTTTGTGAATGAGACCCATTGGCATTTATATTGTTATTGCACTGAAGCCAAAGAAAATATAATGATAAAAAACATTTTATTTTCTCTCTTAGATTTTCTGCAGACTCCTCTTGTGGGTCCCTGGACACCTGTTTGAGAACTCCTACCTTATTTCAGCCAAGAGAAAATCAATGACTAAATTGATCTAATAGTTTGCAGATGGTTGTGTGTGAGTGCAGACCTAAAAAAAAAAAAAACTTCTCTCTGTTAGCGCAGTGATCCCAGTTTGTTGGGTTCTCCACACCAAGCATTGTAAGAATCATCATGACTTAGTTTGAGATTATGTTCGGAGATCATCTTACACACACACTAGACATTTAATCAATATTTTCCAAATCTCTTTATAGGTTCTCAAAGATTAAGCTATACATGCAGGAATTTTGGACACAAAATTTGATTTGGACTAAATGTGATACTCTGTTTTGTCTAAATATTCATGTTTTTATTATGAGGTTATAAACCTATTTTCTTCAAATGGCCATATCAGTATATCTTGTTTTCGATCATCTGAGATGCATGTGTTTGTACTTAAATGTTTTAAGTTTGTCCTGTTTCCGTTTCGTGTTGCCTGTGAACAGGGATGATGTCACTTTGAGAAAATACAGCAGAAACAATCAAATGACCCAAGTCTCCTCAAGCCTTTCAGACGCTCCTGAGCAGTGACATCAAAGGCAGCAGACAGAGAAACAAGGCCATTTCACACACAAAGAAAGTCTGTCACTGGAAAAACACCTACTGTAATATAATGAAATATTTGTGATGTTAATGTTGCTTGCACAAATGTTGAGAATACACAGTTCATTTAAATGGTCTGTCAATGGTGAGGCTAGCAGGACTATGCTAACTAGCCAAACCTTGAGGAAGCGAATGGCTATAGACTTTGACACTTTTCCACAGTTCTTAACATTGTAAATCTAGTACATTTATAGCACTACAAGACAGAACCACAAAAATGCGATAAGGGTCCATTGATGATGTTTAATTTGCCTTGTATAGTGTACCACATTTCTCTCTGCTGCCTGTATCTGTGTTGTACAGAAAGCTCAGTTCAGAAGCTTATTTCTGGATATGGTGCAGGGAACTCTTGCCTGACTCTTAAAGGAAGCGGAGGATGTTCATGCATCACTGGTGCGGAGAATGACTCAGTGATAGTGCAAAAAAAAAGATAAAGGCTCTAGCACTGTGATAAACTAAAAATAGTTTAGTTTGGAAGAAAAAAAATGAAGAATTTGGAGGAGAAATGGATTTGATAGAAATGATTAGTCGTTTAAATAACACAAATTCTCTCCAAAGCAGTGACATTGGTTTCAATGTGGTTTGATTTTGTTTCTCATGATTCCTTTCACATTTTTAATGTTACATGTGTATTGATGGGGAAACAAAGTGCTCACCGTTAGGTTTTGGAAAAGCTGTTTGACTGCTTGAACCTCTGTGTTGCTGCTGGGGATTATTCTCAACACTTGATCACTGCAGAAATAAAGCATTGCAGTTTTTGTAAATTATACACTGGCACAGGAATCAAATCAAAATACAGAGATCAAGTTTTGACAGTACATTTATTTTGTATGTTTACACACTATGGCTCAGTATTTTTTTAAAGAAATTAATACATTTATTCAGCAAGGATAAATTGATCAAAATTGATAGTAAAATCATTTATAATGTTTTTTTTTCTATTTCAAAAATAAATGCTGTTCTTTTGAAATTTTTCTTTATCAAAAAATCCTTAAAAAGGGCTTTCCACAAAAAATTAAGCAGCACAGCTGTTTTCAACATTAATAATAATAAAAAAAAATGTTTTATATATATATATATATATATATATATATATATATATAATAAATGCTGTTCTTTGAATGTTTGAATTGATCAAAGCATCCTAAAAAATGTGTCACAGTTTCCACAAAAATATTAAGCACAACCATTTTAAACATTAATAATAAGAATAATTTTTTTTGAGCTTTGAATCAGCATATTAGAATGATTTCTGAAGTAATTTTCCATAACAGGACTAAATTACATTTTTTAAATTATTAAATTGGAAAACAAATGGTATACTATTTTAATATATAAATACTATTTTACAATATTACTGCTTTTTATTAAATAAATACAGCCTTGGTGAGCATAGACTGAAAGTGAAAGAGAGGAAGTCCAACCATATACTTATAAATTTACAGAGAGAATGAGGTTTATTATGAGCCATAAATAACTGGATGTTTCAGAGCTATTCTTATGATAAGTAGCAACATTCCTAATCTCACATCATTGGACATTTTTCATTGGTCTTAATGAAGTGTCGGGCAACATCCCCCTCAAAAATATCAGTGAAGCCAAAACATCACATCGTAGAATGCACTGTGTTGTTAACATCGTTCAGATTGTGATATCTGTGATATCACAGAAGACCGCAGGGAGGAAGTGTCCTTTTCATTACACCCTTTCCCTTTATGTTCTGACAGGCCTGCGTTTCCCCAGTTCTCACTCTGACTGAGTTAGCATTTATATTGCTCCCTGACAAGTAGAAAACAAGTATTTTCACCTCTTTGTGAATTGTTTTGCTCTTTTAAGCATCTGTGCCTTGAATAATTCATAAACAAGGCTACGAAAAAGCATGGAAGTACAAATACTGCCTAAAATTGATATACCAGTTTAGTTATGAAATTAGGTCTCTAGAGAGACAAAATAAAGTAAAATAGGCATCTTTTGAATCACACTGCTGATGAGAGATCCATAAGCATAGAGTATACTCTTAAAAATAAAGGTGCTTCACGATGCCATAGAAGAACCTTTTTGTCTAAATGGTTCCATAAAGAACCTTTAACATCTGAAGAACCTTTCTGTTTCACAAAAGGTTCTTTGTGGCGAGAGAAGGTTCTTCAAATTATAAAAAGGTAAGAAAGAGATTGTTATTTAAAGAACCTTTGACGGAATGGTTCTTTGTGAAACCAAAAATGGTTCTTCTATGGCATCGCTTGAAGAACCTTTTAAGCGCCTTTATTTTTAAGAGTGTACAGCCAGGAAATTTAGTCTGAATATCTGATCTCTGATTGTCATTAACATCAAACCAACTGACAATCTATCAAAAAAAAGAAGAAGAAGAAGAAGAAAAAAAAAAGATCACACTTATAATGTTTGCCAAAGTGTCAATCAGCGTCCATTATGACCAAGGCCTTTGAACTTCGAGCTTATACCCGTCTATACCAACTGCATATTTTAAGATGTCGCCTAAGATGTGCTTTTCAGCCTTAGCAAAGAAAAAAATCTTGGCCTGCAGAAACTGCTTTGTTTTATAAAGCCGCTGTTGACATAAGAAGAGACAGACAGATATCTAGTCTTTATGTGTGGAGGCGCAGAGTGCACTTCAATGCTTCAAAACTATTTTACAAACTCCCTCTCGTTCCTACGCCCTGGATTATCGCTAAATGTGAAGCGGGAATCATTTTAACGAATCGGTTCATTCAGACGGTTCTTTTCGAAGGAACCGACTCTATCCATTCACAGTCACCGCGTGCGCTTTTTACACGTTATTTTTTTAATGCAAGCACATAAATATCTAGTTAAAAACATTTTTATTTAACACTATGTATTTGATCATGTTATGTAGAGTGTACTGTAGTACAAATTCAAGAACGTTCAACTGTTCAATAGAACGATTCGTTCGCGAGTCATTCTTCGCTCTACTACAAATAGTTTACAAACTTTGAATGAATGAAACACTTACCCGAAGTAGCGGTTGTTGTAGAAGTAAGAGTCGACAGGATAGAGCACGGTGCTAAAAATAATAACACATCCGAGTAAAACACTACTGGACAAGTCTGGGAATGCCATATTAAATTGGTATATAAATAAAAACGGAGCAGTTAATCAGAGGCTGCGCTGTGCATATGGATGCTGAATGGAAATCATCCCAGTGGAAGGAACTGTGAGACTTTTCTGTTCTGGGTGTCCGCTCCCGGGACGATTTCTTGAGGTAGAGGTGTGAAATCATTCATGTGGGAATTCTGGTGCTATCCCGAGTCTTTTAAAGTGTTTTTTGGGAGTGTGGTCACGTGATGCGGGGTGTGAGAGGGGTTGGGAACCGAATCCATGTTTGGAGTGAGATCAGTGGAAGTGCTCAAGTTTATTAAGCTGCAGGGCTGCCTGCAGCGTTAGTTTGATGCCTTCGATGTTCTGGTTTTGAATTTTTCAAGTCAAAATATTTAGATACACATTACAAAATATATTTAAATAAGTACCCTTACCAAAAAGTAGTATACTTCAAGTTTATTTTAGTAAGTATACTTAAGTAAAGTTCAAGTATATTTTAAGTATACTTTATGTAGTAAGTAGCCTATACAAATATCAGTGTACTAGTAGTATACTTGTAAGTGTACTATTTCAATACTCATTGGGACTAAATTGGCCCACTTTCTAGTATACTTTAAATATAACAGTAGTAAACTTTGAGTACACAACTAGTTTACATCAAAATGTTTAGTTTGTACTGCAACTATACTAAAAATGAACTTATAGGTATACTGATGGTTTACTAATTAAATACTTGTAGTAGCATTTTTAGTACACTTTGAAGTATAGTCTCAGTAAACTACTAGTTTAGTAGTTTTATACTGCAAGTATACTCG